TCGCCTTGACGGTGATGGTGGCGCTGACTGGCTTGTTATCGTCTCCAGAGCGAGGGGCTTGGCTAGTGGTGATGGGGATGGGGGTGGCACTCATGGGTGAGGAGGTGAGGGTTGAAGCTGCTCGGGGTAAAGCCGTTGCTGGACCTGGAAAAAGACAAACATCAAAGACTTTAGTTTTTTTCAACAAAGCTCATAATGAGGGAAAAATGAGCACATATCTGTCAGAAAATGAAGTTTAGGCCAATTCATCATTTGCATCTATGCAGATGGATAGATGAGTACTAAGAGTGCTGGCATTGATTATTGCTAAAACATAAAGTCATAAAGCAATCACATAACAACAACAACAACAAAATCCATAAAATAGAACCTATTGGATTTTTTTTTCATTAATTAATATTTTCTAAAAATAGAAAATAATTTAATCTGGACTCGAGACTATGAATCTATAAATGTGTCTATTCAACTTTCCTGGACTGGATGAGCCACCAGTTGCTCCTTCTGACCCACCAAACACTTCATCCTCTGGGAAGTTGATGTTTTCCTGCGACTGGCTGTGCTGCCTGCAGTCATCATCAAAGATGAAAAGGCATTACTAATAGATAATTAGTTACCATCAGCGCTGCGAACTGGAAATGTTTCATTACCAGTCACCAGCCACTTCATTAGGTACACCTGTTCACCTTATTGTTGAAGGGGTCATTACCTGTGCATAAACAGGTTTTTGCCATACCTGCCAAAGCCCTGCTGCATTTGTGGCTATAAGTGTGAGTTAGAGCTGACCCGCTTAAAGCTTATGTTTTCATTTTAGTAGAAGCAGCTGAGAAACAGTAGGATACAATGTCAAGCTAATGATTAAAGGCAAAGAGTAGATGTCCAAAAGGGGAAAATATATGAGTGTTGCCTCTGTGTCTAAAGGCCTTTATAAACCTAACTAGTAAAATTCATGCTAATGTTTCCTGCGTTAGTCCAAATAGTTTTTGGACTCGCCTGTCTTACTAAAGTTGTTCACAGCCGTTAATTTCACATGATGAATATTCTGCATTTGTCTTTTTGGATCAAGCTCGATTTTTCTAATTTTTCAGTATAGAATAAACAGATCTCACCAGTCAGATTAATGCTTTTGGCAACAAGTGCGCTTTTAAGCTCAAAACTGACTGCTTCGGGTCATTCGTCTCTAAAATGATTTCTCTGCCTCCTCAGATGTGGTCCCATCTCTGCTAACTCGAACTCAAACTGCCCCACTGACATCCTGAAATATGTACAAAAGTGTCCATGTTGCAGTTTCAACTGCTGCATCAAACCATGAAATTTTCCCTGCTGCTCCCTTCTCTTGAGAACTGCATGAACCCTGAGTCTCAGTTCCCCTTTCCTGCTTAGAAACTTCAGAAGCAGCTCATCGTCTCTTGATGACGACCTCTTTTTTTTCAAAGGGCCTCTTTTTGTTAGACTTATACTGTGTATATATACATTACAAAAACAAGTTCACATGTAAAAAATACTGAATGTGCAGGGATCTGAGGTGAGTCTTTTTAAAAAAAAAAAAAAAAAAAAATTATTAGTCCGTACTATGCAAGTAACTGGGAATAAATGCTAGAATGAACAATCTCAAGTTCAGATGGTCCATTACCAAGTTTACTTATTTAAAAATAAGTAATACTGTGAATACTATGAAACCTATACTAAATAGCCTCATGGGACCACCCACCAGTGGGCCCACCATTTGCAGGTATTGACATCAGTTGTCTTGTTGAACTTTATATTGCAATATAAACCCTCAATAGTTGGGAGCAAGAACTTTCTTTTACCAGGAAGAAACCTCTGACAGAAGCAGGCTTAGGGAAGAGCAGCCATCTGTCTTGAGTGGTTGTAGGGGTGGAGGGGAAAGAGAAAAGAGAAAGCAAACATCCCTGCTATCCAAGAGCGGCACATAAACACAGGCTGTAGCAACATAACTAAGAGCTGCTTGAGGGTTGCTTTATTTACTGCAATCTTAATCAAAAGTGAGGTAGAGCAGGAGTTCGCCTGCTGATTCTAGAAATTCTCAGAATCAGAAATAAGCCTTGAAACGGAGCTTGAAGCCCTCTATTGGGATGATATAGTACAAAAAGGTATTTATAATATAATAGAGCCTGATTATTCAGGCTCATTCTTTCCAGTCCTTGTTATTACTCTTGCTGCAGTGTTTTGAATCAGCTGACAGATAAAAGTATAAGCAGAAAAGACTCGCTAATATTTACAAATGCAGGATGAAGAGCTCCATTCAGGCATCTCTTGACGGTGGCGTTTTGTACAATTTGGAAGAAAATGATGGCACAGGACTAGAAAAAACTGAAGAAATTATATATCTGCTGAGTACAAAATGCCTTGTTTTTCCCCTGGAGGACTTGACATGATGGGGCAGGTGACCTCTATAAGCTGTAGAAACACCCCCAACTTGAGTCAATTTCTTTTGGATGTTTCTTACTGTTAGGAAGTTTTTTTATTGCCATTGTAGCCAAGTGATTGCTCATAGGGGTCATTTGATTTTGGGGTTTTCTCTCTATTATTGTAAGTTCTTTACTTTACAATATAAAGCTACTCGAGGCAACTGTTGTTGTTATTTGGTGCTGTATAAATAAAATAGAATTGGACTGAATTGAACTAAAAAGCACTGGATGATGTTTCCAAGACCTTACTTAACTTGTTACCCCTTGAACATCTCTCGAGTACCTTTAATAACAAGTTTTGACACCTCAGTAATGATCAATAAAGACATGGCTTGATGATCATTAGAATAGATTCTGTGTTTTCCTGAGGTTATCCCTTGTAAGCTGTACAAGCAGAGGTTACCCACAATAACTTCTGATTAACATGTAGCCGTTTTGTTCTGGAAACAAGACTGAAACATAACAGAAACTGTTCAGGTCAGAAAATATCACAGAGAATTCAGACAGATTGGAAAGCAAAAGATGGTCCAACTCAATACTACCAGTGTGTACCTAATAAAGTGCTGGGTGAAGGTTGCAACAGATACACATATACTTACAAGCCAAACAGCAAGTCATGGAGTCCTGGGGGGAAGATACAGAGTATTAAAGCTGCATAATGTTGCTTTATGCATAGGTCAGCAGGATGCTGGTGGTGGTCGTGTGTGGAGGACTCACGAGGATTGATGCTGCAGTTACGGAGGATGAACATGAGCAGCAGAACAGTGACAATGGCTGCAATCATCCCACCGATAGCTGCTCCAATCACAGCGGGGTACAAATTGTTGCGTGGTTCCACTAAAACACATCAGAGTTAAACATTGCAAAGGAGCTGAGCTCTGTGAAAACACATCTGCAAAGTGATAAGCGTTCACCGTACCGTTATCCCATAATAGGAATGACTACTAGGTTCCCCATTAATGTAAACTCTGTTGAACTAGAGTATTGTGGGTTAATTTTTCAGATAAATATTAATACATTTTTGTTGAAGCCCCCCACCCACTTTGCCCAGTTTTTTGCCAGAGGTCTCATATGTCTCGCATTTCCTGTACCTGGTTTCTTTGGAGTAGAAGGGTGTCCCATAGTGCGGTGGTTCACCGGTATGATGCGAAACTGGTAGGTAACCGTTGGCGTCAGGCTCCCCACTGTATAAATCCTGACAGCTGGATCCTGGAGGATGTTACGGTACCAGACTATGGGACTAACTTTCTCCTCCACCCGCTCACTTGAAGAGTCATTCCCGCTTCCTTTCCTTCGTGGACGCTCAGACAACCATTGGTGCTCCAAGAAGAAACCTGTCCAACTTCCTGCTTCCTCTTTCTCCACCACCCACTCCAGCTCCACCTCATTACGCTGTCGGCTGGTGTACATCACTCTGACCAGGGTTGCATTGGGTGGCATGGGGTACTCTTATACACACATAAAACAAACATAAATAAATATGACTTCAATATGACATCAATCCAGTTTGTATATCTAATCAATTAATGTGTGGATTTCCATTAAATAATGTGTAGTCAATTCCCAGACTACTAATTACTTTTAAGTAATACTTCTATTACTAATATATTAAACTGGAGATATTAACCCCTTGGCTGAATTTAGACAGTGAAAGCATTGTCTGAACTGCACAAAAGTAAAAAGTGAAAGAATGAGTTTTCCATGTAATTTTTTGGTGTATTGAATTCTGATTTAAGGTGTTTTTAACTGGAAAAAATCAGGAGAAGAAGTCCACACATTTCCCTCTCGCTTCACATCTTTATTCTAAGCTGACTGAGATTCATATGCTGTACAGACTCAAGGAATGTAATACAGTTCTCAACAGGGAAATTATTCAACAAGCCCAAAAAAGATCAGAAAAATAAAACAGGTCCTTACTCTTGATGACTAAAGTGATATTGATTTCGGTTCCTCCCACTGCGTTGGAAGTGGAGCACCTGTACTCGCCGCTGTCTTGAGTTTCATCTGTGTCTCTCACAGTCAGATTGGCCCATGCAGACGTTCTCAGAAGCATGTACTTTGAGGTGTCTTGCACACCGACACCCTGATTATTAAACCAGGTGATTTCATTGACAGGAAGGTAGTTGGCTCTCAGACTGCAGGTAAGCTGAACGTCGCGCCCCTCGTACACAGACACGACTCTGCGCTGTGTCTGCAGCACTGGTGCCTCTACGTGTGACAATGTACAGACTAATTATTTAACAATTTATATCTGCTATTTGTTGTACAGTGAGAATGTGCACTGACCCAGTGTGAGTCTGCAGGTCTTGGTTTCGACCAGAAGTGGGTGTTTAGCGTGGCAGGTGTAAGGTTTCCCACTGCGAGCTGTGCCATAGTGGAGGATCAGGATGTTGAAGGTTTGTTCCCCACCTTTGCTCTGACCTTCGGGGCCCTCCCACCACACCAAGGCTTTCGGGGCCCCTCCCTCCCAGGAGCAGGACAGCATCAAGTACTGTTTGTCATTAGTCACATAAGCAAAACACAGTGGCTCTGCAGGGGGAATATCTGATGAAGGAGAGGAGAGATATAAACATGTTCAGATACATGATCACAATACTGCCACTAACTTATCTTTTACTGTTTGTTGACATTGCTGCACTCACGTGTGCGTGTGCTGCACTGTGTCGACTGTTTCAGGGCAGGATGGGAGCCCAGGCAAGTGAAAAAGCTGTTATTAGAAGTCAGGCCTCCAGAGGGCAGCATGATGGTAGTGCTGGAGGCTGAACTTGTTTGCTGGGCTATGTTGGACTGATCTTGTATCAGGTCTCCAGTCCAGTGGAGGGAAGGTGAGGGGAAACCACCAGGCCAGGAGCACAGCAGCCTCAGAGAGGTGTGATTCAGAGCCGGCTCCACAGAACAGGACGGGGAGCCATCAGGGGGGTCTGTGGGGATATGATAGAGGTAACAAGGTAATGATGTGTAAAGTATGGTCAAATCAAGGCCCAGGAAAGATGTCGTGTATTTATAATGTTGGGCATGAGTAAGTTATAAAATTATTTGATTATATACACATATTTTGGGAAGCTGAGTTCAGGTTCATGAGCAACACCCAGGCCTGATTACTGACAGAACCAGAAGCTGCTTTACTGGAATCTGTCTGACAAAGTGAAGTAGGCTAAAAAAAATCTCAGAAAGCAACACATCAAAGTTCTAAAGAAACTCAAGAACAGATGAGAAACAAAGTCACTGACATCTATCTGTCTGGAAAGGGTTACAAAGCTACTTCGAAATCTTTCGGATTCCAGCGAGTTATCCACAAATAACAAATCAAAACTTGGAACAGTGATGAAACTTACCAGATGTAGCAGGCCTACCAAAATTACTCCAGTAGTGCATCAACAACTCATCCAGAAAGTCACAAAAGAACCCAGAAAAACATCTAAAGAAATCGAGGCTTCACTTTCCTCAGTCAAGGTTAGATTTCATGATTTAACAACAGCAAAGAGACTAGGCAAAAATGGCATCCAATGAAGAGCTCCAATGAGAAAACCACTCCTGACCAAAAAGGATAACAAAGGCTTGTCTCACATTTGACCAACACAAAACACGTTAAAATGGGTTAGGAGTCGCCTTGGAGTGGCCATTATATTTCTCTACCATATTTGTCCAATAAACATGGAGCATGGTCTGTCTTTGTAGAAACTGAGGTGTGGCACTTCTGCTTCTTGTTATTTCTTATTGACATCTTTAATTAGTATCTGAGTCAGACGTCATCCCCAGACTGTGTTCATCTCCACAGCCAAGGATGAATTAAAACAAAGGAACCTATGAGGATTTCTGCATTACAGGAGAGGTTTAATTGAACCTCTCCTCTCTGATCATAATGGTTAGAGGTCAGAGGTCACACTCACAGTAGACAGTCATGCTGATGGTTTTTTTGGTGCGCGTGTTGAGGTAGGTGTTCTGTGCCAAACAGGTGTAGTCGCCAGCATCCACACGGAGGATCTTGGTGATGGTGAACTTCTGCCCGATGTAGACCTGCGAGTTGTTGTAAAACCAGACGTACTGACTGGCTGGATTGGACTGGGCCTGACACAGCAAGGAAACAGCCTCCGTCTCCAGAGCTGTGTAGCCCTGCTTTACTGTACGAGGTGGAGTCACATCTATTTGAGGAACATCTGGGCCAACTGATGAGAAAACGTAGCAGTGCATGTAAGAGATACAAGAAACAAACAACTTATGCTGAAAGCAGAGCAAGAAAATGTTGTTAAGAGCTAAAATTCAAACCAGGGTACAATGAAAAGTTTTATCATGTGATCCATGTAGGATCACACACAAAAATTACTGCATCCTGTTGCCATTAGGTCACCAACTGTGGCGGTCATTTGTTGTAAAGCAGCTATAATGCCAAAAATTATTCACTCAGTCTGATCAGAAAAGATAAGCCATTGACCAAAATATCATGATTTTGGTTGTTTTCTCTTTGGTCCAGTGATTCCCTACCTCAGCTTCAATACTTACAGATGGTGTCCAGCCATACGCGATCTGATGTCTGGCTGTTGATATTGTTGCTGGCAACACAGAGGTACCAGCCGGTGTGGTTGCGGTTGACGTTGGTGACGTTGATAATGCTGTTGTTGCCCTGTGCAAATGTTGTGACGTCTTCACTGCCGGTTTCACGTTGCCACACATACCGGATCGGTTCAGTCCCATTTTCCACATTGCAGCGCATCCACACTGAAGATCCTTCCACTGGAGAAGTATCACTCATCAGGACGTAAGGCTTATTGACGGGGACTACAATGAAGATGAATAACACACGTGTTTGGATGTTAAAAGTCAGTAGTAGAACTGAAGGGCAGTAAACAAACACTAAAAAGATGATCTTATAATTTCATTTCCACTATATGTGAACTTTTGGCCAAACTGAGAAAGAGCCTCAAAGTTTCTTGGATAGTATAGTTTTAATCGGATGTGGGCATGTTAAATACAAAATGACTAATAAATGCTGATGCAGTGATACTATTTTATGAAGATAAAGGGACATGTGTATACCATTTGTCATTATGCTCAGACTTAACCAGTCGTGTTTTGCAGAGTTAAAAGGACAAATTGTTGTCGCTGAGATT